TGTAGTGTAAAATGGGTGTCAATATTCTCTCTTCTGCTTCACTTCAAAGAAATGAAATAGGACAGATTTTTACAGATCTACTACTAACTGCCTTCAACAGACGGACTGGTCTGGGTGACAGCCGATGTTATTGTTACTGAGGAGAGGCGAGTTTGGTTTCACTGGATGTACAGCGTTTTAATTATTTCTCTACTGCAGACTTTGATCACTGGTCAACAATAGGCTTCTGAAACTCGCAGGTAATTTCTGAATTGGGATTGACAGCAAATATTGGTTTTCCTTTTGTGGTAGGGGTTGCTATGAATGAATTGCATTATTTTAAAACTTGAAGCATCAGCGCAGTAGCAGGTCCGTTTTTTAAATGTAATTGAAGGACTTTAGCAATAAAATGCTTCCTATCTACTCTTTCACAGGTTAGTATCAACCACCAAATCCATTTAATTCTTTGCAACTTTTGGAGTTTTTTTTTAATCTCTCTTTATGCACCTTAATGGTGATGAATGGATGGAATAATGGGAGCTATGGTGATGCCGTAACGATATCTGTCGGTACAAACCGAAAGAACTGTGGATCCCGTAAATCAGGAACAGAAACAAGTTTCTGGAAAAGCTCAGCAGGTCTGGCAGCTTCTGTGAAGAGAAAACTCTGATTTCTTTCTTCACAGATGCTGCCAGACCTGCTGAGCTTATCCAGCAAGTTCTGTTTTTTCACCCAAGTAGGGTTGCCCAGTAGACAGTTTATGAGCAGCAAAGGGAAGACAAGTAGTTTGAGAAGAACTGTGCTTGGGATGTGATGCAGATGTAATGGGCAAATGCATTATGACTGTGGGAGCCTGAGTGAAAATAGTAAAATAAAGAGCCTGATTAATTAAAACGTGGTGTTAGTGGTAGAGGAGGATTTATGGTTGTATTGCAAAAGATGCAAACATCACCACTGTATAACAGTTTCTTCTGTAACTGGAAATTTATTTCTTGAAGACCATTGCTTATTGCCAAGTAAGCTTTTTCTTTATATGCTTGTGTTTCATCTGTCCATTTTAACAAAAAATTGCAGCATAAACTGTGAAATATATTGCTATAAAAGTCATGTAGAACATTTTAATTGCTTCTTGAAATATTTATAAAATGTATAATTGACTTTCCTCAATCTACCGGGTTAAAAGTTCTTTTAATGTAATTTTATTAATATCTTTTTGTGCAGAGAAAAAGATTTGGATGGCAAGTGTATCATACACATGGACGGAAACAAAACAACGATCACAAACTTAAAGGTATAACATTTCAGAATAGTATTAGCACCCTCGCTTGGTGTGCTGCTGTATAGAGAACAGCCCATTTGATATTTCTCAGTCAATTTTATGGAATAAATTGTACTATGTTGTATGGAAGTTGTCACCTTGTTGAAGTAGCTCAATAACTTAACTGGAAAATGCAGAGACCTGTTGGTGAAGTCGCAGCTAGCATTTGTAAATTGGCCACATTGTTTACGGATATGCGCTTGTTGCTTATGAAGTGCCTTGATATTCATGCCTATGTTCCTGTAGAAACCCGATTTGGTGAAATTATCGTTTGAGACAATTTTCTGTTGTTTCACAGCCATCACCTCCATTTTCCCCATTGCAAGTGGTGATCTAATCTGATCGCTCTTTTTAAGCAGCTAATTATGTATTCTTTATTTTTAAGCTTTTAAAGCTAACATTTTTCAGCTATTAGAAATTACCTTTTTCTTTAAAGGGCAAAACATGCAAGAGTTTTCTGTGCAAAATGCTCTACCCCTTCCTGGAGTTGAGTAGGGGTTGGAAATGATAATGGCTTGGGTCTATTGATGTGGATGAGCTGTATTAGAGTTAGTGACTGACTAGTTTGATTACAGCAAACCAGAGCTCTGGAGCAGTGAGTGGATTGCCCTTGGAACTTGGATTACCAAATCAATTTAGGAATCAGTGCCATCTCTCTTCCCTTTTTTAAAAAAAAAGCCAACAATGAGGAACTTGCGAGTAGTTGCTTTCTTTTTAAAGAAAAGTGGAAAACCTTATCCTTCTCTTCTATCTTAATATATTAGTAATAATTTTTTGTATTCATTACATCTAGGCTATATAGATGGTGAGAGTTGTCATCTATAGCAATATGGGAAAATTATTTTACAGCTTGCTCCTAAACTAAATCTCAATTTTTATATACACTGTTAAGAAGAGCCACTCAATTTTCTCAAATGCAGCTTGGTAGCAATTTGCATGTAATATTCTTCAAATCACAAGATCTTGTGTAAATTCTAGACACAGAAGGTTCTGAAACTGGCCTAATTGAAAACTGTACTAAGGAACTGGTGTATCATAAGATTTTCAAACACTTGACATCAGAAAATCTTGTCCTGAAATAATTCTTGCTCAAATTTGAGGGCTTGGTAGCTGTTGGAAAAGCAGAACAGGAGCATACTACCTTAGAGTGACAGGATGTAGATGTTTGTCACCCTAGGAATTTCCCATGCAATGTTTTTTGTGTCAGCCCATCTAGATGGATGGTGGTAGTGATGCTGGCTTTACAAAGATAAGGGTCTTGGAAACTTGTACTGCTTTTTAATATTATTAATTAATAATTAAAACCAGTGGAATGTATGTTGGCTCCCAGTTTTGTATGCACAATTCCACATGTGGTTGGTGTGATTCTAGATTTCATTAGTGTGTGAACAGTCTTAGTAGCATTTGACCTCCACAGCAAGTTCTAATTCTCTCTGTCTCGCCTGCTCCTTTCTTCTCTGAGCTGTTTCTGTCCTTCAAAATCTCTGACCCTGAAAGGATGGTTCTCGACATTTGACCATGAGTTTGATACTAAGAGCTCCCTGCAAATAGCATTCTGATTTAGTACAAGTTTACCACAAATGTGTACCCTGTGCAAGTGTTCTAAATGTGAAAAGTGTTTTTCTTTGAAATGCATGTACTTTATTTTGCCTTTAATTTTGAGTAGACTTGTGCAGCATCTTACAGTAGGCTCATTGTGAATATAGAAAGTAAACTTCAAAATTGTTCATGTTGGTATTAAATATGTGTCCTTTTAATGCAGTGTTGTTGCTGAAATGTTCGAATTCAATTAAAATTTAAAACATAATGTGATCATTTTTTTCTCTCCCAATAGATCCCAGAAGGAGGTTCAGGAGATTCTGGACGAGAACGGCTAAAAACATTTACCTATGACTATTCTTACTGTTCTGCTGATTGCAGGAGTCCCAAATTTGTGTCCCAGGAAAGGGTATGTTTTTCTTTGATTTAAATGGACTTTATTTCTCCATCTTCTCCAAACTACAAAATAATTTACAGGCAATGATCATAATGTAAAGTATTTAATGTAAGCAGTATTTGTAGGATGGATATCATATAGAACAGTAGATATTGTCTTTATGTTTCAAAAGTTCCAAGTTTGAGTCCCTCTCTAGGACCTGAAGCATTTGCTGTAAAGACAGTTGGTGCCTCTACCATCAATCTCTGTGGCTCTGGATTACAAAATGCATGTAAACGTATATGTTGTTGCAGCAACTCCAATTTCCTTGGTATTGGGGGTTCATTTGGCTGGATGCCTGGTGTGTTTTGATTATCCAAGTGTAGGGGGTGATTCGTGTTGAGGCCAGGGTGGATTTGGGACCTGTTTCCTTGCCCATTGTGGGTGGAGACCATGGCACTGTAGGTCAAACCTTTGCTTGGGCAGAGGACTGCTCACAGGATAGAGCATGTACTTAGAAAACCTTGAATAATAAGAGAGGTAAGAATTTCTTTTTCGAGAGCAAACACATTCCAGCCATTGTTTTGTGATGTCTTGTGGTTTTGAAGAATATTGTTGTAAGTGCAGTTCCATGATTTATGGTCGGATACATGTGACATTGCATGTGCTGTCACATCCACTGGTCAGAATGATGTAGATGAGTTAAAGTCGGATATGGGGCATTGTGCAATTCTGCTATAATATCTTTGGTAGACAACTTGGAAACAGAATATTTTGTTAAATAGTTTTCCTGAGCTGATCAGGAAGGGAAAGGTTTGGTTGCTCACTAGTGGCTGAGGGCTAGACCACCCACCACTGCTGGCACTTGACACTAATGATCGAGGTCACATTTTCTATTTCTGCCAGCTTTCTCTCTGATTTTTCTGCCTGATTTCTCCCTCTTCCATCACTACTGAGGCTGATTCTAGGGACCTTCTGGTGAAGGGATGGTAATAGGCCCTAGGACACTGGGGGAAAGACCTATTGGTGGCTTTTTCAAATGGAGTTTGAATGTGGTGGGTCCATTAGTGGGCATTTCCTTCACGCATTTGATCTAAGTCAGTGATCTTAAAGAAATATTGGACGTAGATTTTCAGGTCCCTTTCTAAAACTTTTGATCCTTTTGTAGCCGATATCATAGCTTTTGCAGGTTGAAAGCAGTCAATAACTAATAACCATGATTACATGAGTGTAGCTTATCGTGGGGAATAAAAATGTTTTTTTTTTCCAGAAAGGTAGATCATAATTCTATTTTCTTTGCCAAAGAGTGTCTAGAGGAACAGGGAATTACTGACAGCTTCTTCTAGATATCCATGGCTAACTACACATGGGTGCGCTGACAGTATCATCCTATCATAATCACAAAACTGGGCTGTTGTTTGAATGAGTAAAGGCATTCATGTTGAATGGGATTAGCAAAGGGCAACAAGCAAACCATGTGCCCATTTTAGCTGAGTAATATTAGAACTCATTGGAAGGCTGTGTCAGTGGAATAGAATCTCTGGTGTGATAAAAGAATTAGGTGGCTGGTTTAAGAGATTAGAGTTGGAGGGCTGATGACTCTTCCAGAGGAGTAGAACTGGAGGAGGTTAAAGAGTTGGGGAGGAGCAGGTGCTGCATATCCGTAAACAAGAAATGAAAACACAAAAAATTTGAGGGGTTCGGTTTCGAGCTGACAAAGTAAAGGAGGAAGTATAACCTTCTGTCATCAGTCCATAATTAGTATGCTGGTCATGTGTAATTTTCTGCCAGTTGCCATACCAATAAAGGATTGTGGTACAGCTGTACCACAACAGTTGCTGCACTCTTGTTCTGTGTTGTACATTGTGGTGTGATCTACTCTAAGACCAAAATGTAAGGGATTAATTTTTGTGTATTTTAAACTTGCCTACATAAAAGATCAACAAATATTTGATTTGGTTGTGATTGTTGATGCGCACCTCATGACAGCTAGGCTGTGCATTTATTATTTTGAAAGTAATGAGTATTGTTGACAAGCAAAAGAGCCGAACTCGAGATGAAGTGAGAGTGACTGCTGTTTGTGTAGTTGTTAATATACGCAGTTGTAGGCTTGCAGGCCATTACTGGCAGAGAGCCTAGAATAGATAGATTAAGCCTTGCCTACAACTCATTAGTGCACTCCTATACTGAACATCAAGTAATAATCGTTATACTGACATACATTCAAGATGAACCACTACCTCCAACCCCCAGACAGTGAATTAAATTCGCAAGTGCGTTTAGTATTGGAAATTAACTCTTTCCATTTTGTTATACAACTGTGTAATATTGAAGGCATGTGAGTTTTACACTTAATATAAAAGCAAAATACTGCAGATTCTTAAGTACAAAATGCTGGAAATGCACAGGTCAGACAGCATACTTTAGAGTGAGTAATAGAGTTAACATTTCAGGTCAATGACCCTTCATCAGAACAATTGTGAGGCACCCTTGACCTAAAATGTTAACTTTGTATCACTGCCCACCGATATTTCCTGACCTGCTGAGTATTACCTTTCTTTTTGTTTATATTACTCATTTTATGTTTGTTTTTCAATACTCTAATAAAAACACACTCGTGTCTATATATGTGATTGTTGCTCTCTCTGGTTTGATATTGTGTAGTTGTTTAAGAATGTATATAAGTTTTTTGTGTATTTTAAACTACCGTACATGGGGATCAGTTAGCTTGGATGGCTGGTTTGCAATGCAGGGTGATATCAACATTACATAATCAATTCCTGTACGGGCTGAGGTCACTGTGAAGATCCTGTGTTCTCAACGTTGCCGCTTGCCTGAGGTGTGGTGACCGTTGTGTTAAACTTATCATCAGTCACCTTTCTCTTTAATGAGGGAGCGGTCTTAGGATCCCATGGGACTGTTGTGACTTTACCTTTTGCTTGTACATGGCCACTTCTGTTTATATATAAACAATCTGATTCTGAAGAGTGGAATAGGAAGCCAGAAACCAAAAGTTTCATTAATTTTGTCCTGCTACCTTGGCTGTTGCCCTAGCTTGAGTCTCGATCTTTAACTTTAATCTTTGACTAAAGTGATTTGTTGTATGATAGTTCATTTACTTTTGCTGTTAACATAATGGGTTAAGTACTTTTGCACTTCTGAAAGAATTATGCTACTTAGATTAACATTTATTATGGAGGCCGAGTAGTATGAACATTGATCTGTTCCTGTCATATGGAGAATAATGATTCTTTTCTTGTAGGTTTTCGAGGATCTTGGTACTGATGTTCTTAAAGCTGCCTTTGAAGGCTACAATGCATGCATATTTGCTTATGGGCAGACTGGATCTGGCAAATCGTATACAATGATGGGAAACCCGGTAAGAAATCTGTAGTAGCCATATGGGATGGGTATACTAGTTAGCTTTTCCAGTGATTGAGGCTATTGGCATTGGCATAGGCACAGAGCAAAGCTGGTGAATTGGACCTTCTCTAGTTTGATATCAAATAATGTAGTTTGACAGGTGCTTCAAGGCTTGCTCAAAAATATCCTTTACCGAAAACAAGTAGATACCCTTTTATGTATAAAAATGAATACCTTTTTAATGTAACATCTCATTACCTCTTTTTTTCTTTAAATCCCACCTTCTTGATCAAGTATCCAGTTTGCGATCTCTTTGCAACTCAGCTGTATTTTGTTTTATGATGCTCCTGTGAAGTGGCTTGGGAGATTTCTTGTTGAATGAACAACACAAATAAAACTTGTTGCTGAAACCTTTCTAAATTGTGTGTGCAATTTGTCCACCTGCTTTTTCATTATTTGGTGGTTTTGATGTGCTCCTAATATGGCAGTTGGGTCTACTATTATCTCTTGGCTCAACTCCAACAGACATGGTAACATTTTTAGGGGTTTAAGTCCACTTTTATTAATAACACATTTTTTTTATATTGTCATTACTGAAAATTTGTTGTGCAGACTAAAGACCTAACTGACACACAGTTTTATCAAGGCTGCAGTATTAGCTCCCTCTAATTCAATTTGATTCTTTAGTCAATATTTTGACTGCCCTGAGATTCAGACATGTTAGGTGGTCCTTTCCCATCTATTTGTTTTCTTAGCCTTATGTTTGTTCTTCTTGAGCTATGTCAAATTTTCCAAAAGTATATATTGTTACTCCCTCACTAAGGTGACTATTTTGACTGTTGTTTCTTATGCAATTGACTTTAGTCCCTGTAAACTCAGATTTTCTTTTGCCTCAGCCTTGCTAATTCAGCTCCTCCCATACTGCATTATTTACCTCTCAATGAGAACATTGGTACGTTTGGTTTAGATGCTGCCTATTTCAGCTTTAGAGCTTCCTCTGCACTAGGATTCATTAAGTTTCCCAGAAATCTTCTATTCCACATAGATGTGCCTAATGTGTTTCACTAATGGAGCTGCTACTTTGCCAGATTTTGATTAAATGTTCGCGTGAATAACAACAGGAAAGTGTACTGATGTATTCAATTATTTCAATCATTGAATACAGCAGGGTTCAGTGCTGGGACCCCAGCTGTTCACACTAACATTGGACAAAGAGATTGAATGCAATATCTCCAAATTTGCAGATGCCACTAAGCTGGGTGGCAGTGTGTGCTATGAGGAGGATGCTAAGAGGCTGCAGAGTGACTTGGACAGGCTGGCTAAATGGGCAAATGCAATATAATGTGGATAAACGCAAGATTAGCCACTTTAGTAGCAAAAACAGGAGGCAGATAATTATCTAATTGGCAGTTTAGGAGAAGGTGAGGTACAATGAGACCTGGGTGTCATGGTGGGACAGTCACTGAAGGTTGGCTTGCAGGTGCAACAGGCAGTGAGGAAAGCTAATGGCATTAGCCTTCAACGAGAACATTTGAGTATAGGAGAAGTGATGCCTTGCTGCAGTTATACAGGGCCTTGGTGAGGCCACACCTTCAGTAGTGTGTGCAGTTTGGTCTCCTGCTCTGAGGAAGGACATTTTTGCTACTGAGGGAGTCTAGTGAAAGTTCACCAGACTGATTCCTTGGATGGCAGGACTGATGTGAAGAAAGACCTGATCGACTGGGTTTGTATTCACTAGATTTAGAAGATCTGGTAGAAAGATGTGAAATTCTGCTGGGACTGGACAGGCTAGATGCAGGAAGAATGTTCCTGATGTTGGGGAAATCCAGAACTAGGGGTCACAGTCTAAGAAAAACTGAGATGAAGAAGAATTTCTTCACTCAAGAGTTGTGAACCTGTGGAATTCGCTCCCACAGGAAGCTGTTTGGGCCAGTTCGTTAGATCTATTCAAGAATGAGCTGGTTGTGGCCCTTGCAGTTAAAGTGATCAAGGGGCATGGAGAGAAAGTGGGAGTGGGATACTGAAATTGCATAATCAGCCAAGACCATATTGAATCATAGTGCAGACTCGAAGGATTGAATCGCCTACTCCTGCACCTATTTTCAGTGTTTCTGAGAAAGTAAACTTGATATCCACATCTCTCCTAGATCATAGACAAAGCATAGAATAGTATAGTTCAGAAAGAGCCCTTCAGCACACAGAGTCTGTACCACCAAAAATATACTATTGCCTAAACTAGTCTTCTGAGATAACAAGGTGTAGAGCTGGGTGAACACAGCAGGCCAAGCAGCATCAGAGGAGCAGGAAGGCTGACGTTTCGGGCCTAGACACTTCTGAGTTAGGTTTATTGCCTTGAATGTTACAACACTTCAGGCGCTCTTCCCAGTAAGTTGCTTTTAAAGGTTGAGGTTTCCTGTCAGACAGTGCGTTCCACGTCCCCTCCCCTCCTCTGGATGAAATTTTTTTTCCTCAAATCCCCCTGCCTTTCACTTTAAAATAATGTCTTCTTGTTATTGACAATCTATTGTATATCCTGTTTTAGGATGATGCAGGCCTGATACCTCGAATTTGTCAAGGATTGTACGACAGAATTGCAGGGAAGTCTAGGTGGGACGAAGCTTCATTTCGCACAGAAGTAAGGTAGGAAATTGGAATATTTTTGCTTTGGAACAGCACGATGGTGCACAGTAAATTCAGCGTTGCTTTCCAGGGAAAGCCATGCTTTAGACAAAGAAAATTGATGAACTGAAGGCCATTTTGAAAGCTCAACAGTCATTTTTTTTTCAGAACCAGCAGAAGGTAAGGCCTGCACTGAAACATTACTTTTAGTTTGCCATCTTCTGCCAAAACACACAATTATTTACAGATGGCAAAGTATTTCAACAATCTATGACTCTGGCAGCTGATTCTATTCAAAGATTTTAAAAATGAAGATGCAATCATTGGCAATCCAGAGCATGTCACTTGGTGTTTCCACAGTAGCAAGATGAGTGAAATCTTCAGTCAATGACCTCCTTCTGCAACTACAGCAGAACCTGAAGGACTCTGAATAATTCTCACTACAATTTGATTAATCTACCAACATGATGAATGCAGCCCAGCTAATTTGATTTTTGTGCACATTGTTTTCAAAGGCATAGTAACTTAAGAGGATCTCACCCTTTTGCCCCTTTTTAAAGAGAGGACTAGGTGAGGATATCTGTGACAAATTCAAAAGTTACGTGGTTGAGGAAAACATTCCAGTCAAAAAATTGGTTTTCATCTGATTGGTGCCAAGTATAGCTGTGCACAAGTACAAGCTTTATTGCATTTTGCAGAATTATCCTGGATTTTGTTGTTTTGGTCAATTCCCACCATTATAATCCTCCAGAAAGTGAGTAAAGTTCTGGGCATTTCTCATGTAATAAAAGTTGTTAAGATTGTAAACTCAATTCAATCTTCAGCCCATTGGCACTGCTTGTTTAAGTGCTTATTCAATAAACTCTGCTGTGGGCAATGAGCTAACCCTCCATGCTAATGTGAGGTGGTTACGTCGAGGGGCATTCTTGCAAAGATCTTTAGATTTGATGCCTGAAGTTGATACTCCTCTTTTTAAACTGAGGAAAGAAATGTGCAGTGAACTGTCAGGCAATGCATGGTTGCTCGACTTCAAGTTCCTTACAGACACAACATCAAAACTGAACAAGCTGAACTGTGAACTGCAGGGAAACATCAAAGACTTTGAACATCTGAGTGTTTTAAATGCTTTCAAAAAGAAACTGGGTCTGTGGTCCTCCTAATTATAAAGCAACGCTGCAAAAATTCCATAGTTGGGAAAAAATGCTAGAAAAAAATCAAAGCTAAAGAAAAATGGTTCCACCCAGAAAACTCCTGTACACACCTAAAGGAAGATTGCAGAGGAATTGAACAGGTGACTTCAGGAATTAGATGTAATGGAACAAATTGTCATGACAGAAACCAGGTAAATCTGAGTTCATTGGACAGGAAAATTGGTGTCTAGGAGTAATTTGATTAGATCTTTAACTTTTGTGAGAATCCTGGAAATAACAGTGGGGCCTAAGTATCAGCATGTTTACTCAAGTGGGTCATGACAGCTACTTGTGTGAGCTTTTGATGATTATATCGATTTGCTGTGCAGCTTCCGTTATAACAGTGGTTGTGCTTCAGACGGTAACATTGCCTTTAAAGTGTTGATTGATGAATGTCCCGATGTTGTGAAAGGCTTTATGAACAGAAATTCATTATTTCTCAAACTCATTCCTTTTACCCTCAAGATGTCCTTGTCTACTGGTCCCATGCTAGGCTTTCATTTCCAATCAGTGCCAGTATTGAATTGTTTTGTGTATCAGGGAAACCCACAACCTGCAAGAGAACCTATGGGAGACAGGAATGGGTCTGAAAGGACTCTCTGCTTGTCATGACATTTGGGATGTTCTAAATTATATTTGTAACATGTAAAGTATTGTAAAATTAGTTTTTTTTTTCCTCTCTCACAAAACAGCTACCTGGAAATTTATAATGAGCGAGTAAGGGATCTGCTCAGGCGGAAGTCTACCAAAACGTACAATTTAAGAGTGAGGGAACATCCAAAGGAAGGTCCATATGTAGAGGGTAAGAACGTATCTGTAAGAGAAAAATCAAACTTGGGGTATATTAGCCCTAGATTTTGCACGTTTTGACTCTGATGGGGACACAGCTTACAAAATTGCCAATCTAAATTGATTACGGGAGAATCAGCTTTGTCTTTTTTTTATTGTGGTATACAATATAATGTGTTGATTAGACATAAAATTTAAATGTCGGTTGATACTTCCCTCCAGATGAACATGAAGTGCAATGAGATGACATAAGGAGCAATGCTTATAAGGACTGTGGGCTTTTCTGCCTCAGGAGTAGAGGTTGCAGTTGCAATTAAGGAGGAAAAAAATAATCAATGTTGGCTGTTGATACTTGTTTTGGAGACAGACAAGCCCATACATGATCTTTTCCATACAAGTTGCTTCCTTGTAAGGCTTAAGTTTATATTTGCCTTTCACTGTAATGTTTCTGGGATTTATCATGTGCAAAACTATTTTTTTGTTTTGTCTCCTGTTTTCTTTTTACTCCAACTACTGCTCAGCAAAAATGTGTATCTAAATATAGTGTAATTATAAGTTGCGGCTGCAACCATTTGCGTGACTACTGAGCAGTTGGCTGTATTTCTGGTTTACACCTGTATTTTGTGGAGGGATTTTGCGGACCATGAATTAAGTTAGCTCTTGCTGAGTACCTAATCTGACGTGCTTTTGTAGCTATGGTGTTATGTCTGGTCATGAGAACTCCCTGGTCAGTGATGCTCACTTTGTTCTTGACCAGTGGATATGTTGTTGAAGCTTAGGGGAACTTATATATGTTAAAGATCTTGGCACTTGTATGAATGTTCCCTATGACTTGTTAGTGCAAGCCTGAATATTGCCCTGCTTTAGGTAACAAGTCTCAAATTAATAAATAAAATTCAACACCCATAGAACATAAAATTGAGCAATTAAATTATTCAAAAATACTTTAATAGTCCATTTTCCTTCATTTTAAATACTGGGATTAATAACATAAAAGCATAAGTGATTGCATTACATCATAATCACAAATAATGTAATTAAATGTATCTATAAAGTTTTGTCTTTTCTATCTTTCTCTTGGTGCTTTTAATCAAAGTTTTGAACCTCTGAAGGCCCTGGCCTTGCATTTAATATTCTTAACCGAGCAATTAGTTTCTCAGAAGTTAACAAATACACTTTGTTACCAGCATGCTGCAGAGTAAGTTTGTGCATTTTAGGTAATCTCTCAGTATATCTATGATTCTTTCTGGTAATAGCAGTCAAAGGATCTCAATATCTGGGCTCAAATAATAATTTTAGTTTGTGTTTCCAAGTGATTTCAAAACCCGCTGGATCGTACCATTAATATCAAAATAAAGTTTTAGAAAGGAAACTTCACAAAAACTGTTGCAAAACTTTTGCAGAAAAGGAGAGCTTTGTTTTGATATGCAGCCTGAAACTGATCAGCACTCTCTGTAATGTCCAGTTGATTTTTTTGACCAAAGATAATTTCACCTAACACATTGGAGCTCACCCTCCAAGTTACAATGTTCATGGATTTTACTTCTTTTGGTCTTGAAAGGATGCAGTTTTACCATGCTAGCGGAATAATAGATTGTGCATTTCCTGTTGAGCACTCCGCTCCATGTTAAGGAATACAGTACAATGTTCCATTGCCTTGAATAATCATATAGGAAATGCAACATTTCCTGTCACATTTTTAAAAGTCGATAAGTACAAGCAGTCATTTGGGATGCACAGAATCTCCAGAAATTGCAAATACATTCATTTGACAAGAGACAGAATGTCTAATTCTTAGCTGACCTTAACAGAAATATAAAAAAGACCAATCTGTGAACCAAACTTAAAGTAATTAACACTGACCTCAGTGAGTATTTAAATAGAAATTAAACTCTGTGACTGCAAAGAAATTCAGTTGCAACTTGTAACCACTCCTGCTGGGAGATATGACGGGTAAGCTGCACTCGTTTGTCTAGGGCAATCCTCTCTCATGCACTGTGGCTTGTCTGCAGCCACACTGTGACCTTCGTCATCCAACTAACTGCACCTAGGTCGACCCGTCTTTCTGCGGCTTTCCACTTTGCCCTCCAGAAGTGATCTATGTAGCTTTTTGGTTCTGATCAAGTGGCCAAAATGTTTTTTTGAGTGTGTCACTTTTTTTAAAAGTTCTTTTGCGCTTGCAATTTCAAACACTGCCAAATTTGTCTTGAGGGTTGTATAAGGATTTTTTTTATTTTTGTTTTGCAACATAAAATACATTGTGCATTTTATGGCACAAAGTTCCAATTCTGACAACAACACTTGACTCACAGTGAGACGCTCCATGGGAATAAATCCCAGTATTTTGTTTAGAAATAGTTTAATAGAGAGGCACTGAATATAGTTGCTGGTGTACGCAACCCCAGCACAAAAATAGTGTGAATAAATAAGATGAAGCTGTTTTCCCCAGGCAATGAGCCAACATCTAAGGTAATTGGCAAAAAAAAACCCTAGGGAGATGAGGAAACTTTAAAGCAGTGAGTTCCTGTGTAAATGAATGCACACCTTGATAGGGTGGCAGGAATAGAGTCAATATTAATTTTTGGGTATATGCTTAGAAAAAAAGACTTGCAGGGCTATGGATAGAGAGCAATTTAATGGGTATTAACAGTTTTCTTTTTAAAAAGTGGGCCCAATGGCTACCTTTACAGTCATCTTCAACAATTCGCTATAATGCACATAACCTGTTCCATTCTGTGCAAGGAGCTGAATTGATAAGACAGTTGGGTTTTGTTAGGCATCGACTTATGAATCTCTTATGCTGCATTTATTTTATAATCATCTTTGTCTTATGCATTTAGATTTATCAAAGCACTTGGCGCAGAATTACAGCGATGTGGAAGAACTCATGGAAGCTGGAAACATCAATCGAACAACTGCTGCCACAGGAATGAATGATGTCAGCAGTCGTTCCCATGCCATTTTCACTATCAACTTCACTCAAGTGAGTCGTCTGAAAACAACCTTTAATGGGTTCAGTTTTATCAAGTATCTTGTCAGCTTGACGGAATAACTCAGTTGTTACTCTTGAGACATTAACGAGAGCTACGTACTGTAGGTTTCGTTAATGAAGTTAGAAGGCAAAAGCATTTCTATCATGCTGTATGGTGATTAGTATTGCACATACGACATTTGCTGGAATTGTCTTAAGGGCAAATTGTAAGCTGAACCTCACCTGGTTGCTCATTGTACACTTTAATGAAAGGTGACTTCCAGCCAAATTTCATTCTCATAACCATTGGTAAGTTGTGAAGCTGACCTCCCAACAGTTTTTTGATTTGAGTCATCTTTTAGATCTTTATAGTCTATTGTTTCGATCTCATGTCCTGCAGTGCTATTTAAAATTACAGAGGTTCATTTGGCTAAACATTTTCAAAATTGCCATAAAGTCTGTATTTTGTTTCTTTACCTTTTGTTTCAAAAATAAAGGATATCAGGCCCAAGTGATGTGATTAACCATGTTACTCTGCAACTGCCCTAGTGCTCCATGCTCTAGAAATTTTTAAAATGTTCTGTCCTTAGCTTGTGCAGGAGTTAAATTTCTGAGATAACCTAGTACACTTTCTGTATTGGCACTGTATACAAGTTATTGCCAATGAGATGGGTATCTTTCCTCTGATTCTTTATATTAAGAAAATGTTTTGATTAATATTTCTCATGAAGAAATAATGTAATCACAAAAATCATTAAAATCCCTTGTCTGGAAAGACCTGCAGGCTGCCTTAAAGCATACAAGCTCGATTTTTAGTTTTTGTTCATAACTAGTTTCAATTTTGTAAACATTATAGTGCCAGGTTGTAGTTGTTGCAGCAGTTCTTGCAGTTGTAGTTGTGTGGGGTTTTCCTTTGACACGTTCCTGCAAGATTTGCTTAATGTCACAGATTTGGATTAATAAATAGCCTTTCGTTATGTTGTTGGCCACTTGAAGTTGTTTGGGGTGCCCGTGATCTCTTGACTGGTTGAAATGGCAGACAATGTCATTAAAGCAGACTAAAGAGCAGAGGCTAAAAATATATAGATTTATTTACAATTGGAGTATTTTGAATAAATGGTGATCTATTGGTTTGCCCCCATTTTTAAAAATTACAATACATTAATATATTGGAATGTATAAACTGGAAAAATCAAGCAGCTGTTTCTACTGCCCAGTAACTGTCAGATTACACAATACCTATCAATTTTTTTCCTTTGTGCACTTGCTGAAACCTCCAGCAAATTTCAGACTCAGTACACTTCATATCCCTCGTCAGTCCATTTCACGTACCTTTTTACGTGAAGTAATTAAATCTTGAGGGAGGCATGCTAACAAGCTTATTTTCATATTTTGCCCAACTGTCTTCTCTGGTAGCAGTTTAACCATTTATTGCTTAATTAGTGTTCTGAACAAACTTCCCATGTCCTGGTAATTTCCCAAAATGGTTGACTTAACGGAGATGTCCAAGGGACTGAGTTTCCAGTGTGATGCGCACTGAGGGAAAACAGTTTTAATTTTCAATGTATTTCCTTCACGCTTATATCTTTTACTGTGTGTCTTAAAGAGAGTCAGTGATGGGTGCTGATTTACTTTCTTAATTGAAATCCTAGGCCAAATTTGATGCTGAAATGCCTTGTGAAACTATTAGCAAGATCCACTTGGTCGATCTTGCAGGAAGTGAAAGAGCAGATGCTACAGGTGCCACTGGTGTAAGATTGAAAGAAGGAGGAAATATTAATAAATCTTTAGTCACATTGGGAAATGTTATTTCTGCTTTGGGTAAGATATTTAATTCAAATGTTTCTTGAAACATTTATAATCTTGAAAATACTTGGTAATTGTTAAAAGTAACTGACTGCCATGTGTTTGAATTTGTACTGCTTTCAATTTTCACAGCTGATTTGTCTCAGGATAGGACAAATTCTCAAGCAAAGAAGAAACAAGTGTTTGTGCCTTACAGAGACTCAGTTTTGACTTGGTTATTGAAAGACAGCCTTGGTGGAAACTCAAAAACCATTATGATTGCCAGTAAGATTTTAGTTTTTGACATGCTTGTAGTTTCAAGCAACATTTTCATTTTATTGTTAAGCCTATTAATTTAACTATTCCAAACACCACATACTTTAAAAATAAAAGATCTTACTATTTGTGTGACGCCAAATAATATAACCGTTGGCTATGAACCCTGTCCATGCCCATTTTACTCAATATAAGCACCCTCAGGGAAGAATTTAGATTGGTTCCAGATATTGATATTTTGGTTTGTTTGTAAACCCAGTTTTGATACACGTCTAACCTGGAACAGGTCTAGCTCAAATGATACCTCTCCAGGTGGGTGAGATGGTAAACAAAACATCGAGCGGAAATATCGAGCGGGAACTCTAGAAAACATTCTGTATTTTACAGAAGTGTAATGGGAGTCCTTTGTACTGAGTGATTTTATTTCCAAATTGGCAAATGCATCATCTTTTAGTTTTGACTCTTATTCCATCAGCTTTGAACACCATCTTTAAAATCTAGTTCCCTACATGCCATGAATGGTTAAGCAACAAGAAAAAAGCAAGTGCTTAATATTCAACAGCAACTGTAATTTCCTTAACATCCCATTTGGGTTGGGCAGTAAATGCCGGCCTAGCCAGTGATGCCCTCATCACTTGAATGAATTTAAAAAAAAACCTTCACTGGTCCCAAGGCCTACTAATTTGACTAACCTTGAAATATTTTCCTGAGATCATCTTAATTATACCACCTTATAACATTAATTTCTATTATATATTGCTTTTGACATTGTGAAATGCTATGGAACACTTTTCTCTAAGGGATAATCAAAGAATCTGTAAGACACCTTTTTAGATTCTTTCAGATGCAACTTTAGTTTCTCTGATCTTCCAACCCTGATCCACTGTTTATTTGGGGATAGCCATTTAGAAGACTGTCCAGTACCCCTTTCTGTAATGCCCAGGAGTGTGTCAACCAGAATTTCTCTCAGTTCTCCAAGTCTGCACTAACTAGTGATTGTAAAACCTCAGGATGACTTCATATGCACATGGTTTCACTCAGCTACGTATCTATCCCAATATTATTTTTTCTGTTGCTCTCCAAGCCAAACATTCCTCAAAATCTACTTTTCTGACCAAACTTTTATCACCTGTCCTAATATTGCCTCAGTAGCTTAATATCAGATAGTGCTTGATAAGGTTCCTTTGAAGAACTTTGAGATGTTTAAAACCTTAATAGCAATATTTATGTGTACAGATGTTGGAATACTTTGTATTTGAGAGTGTTAATGCACATTTCCCTTGCTGTAGTGTAATAGATCTAAACCACAATACCCTTCATTTCCCTCAAGCTCATTTTGTTGGTGTCTGGAAATTTAATAAGGTCAGAAGTCACATGACACCAGATTAGAGTCCAACAGCTTTCAGAGCACTGCCTCTTCATCTGGTGAAGTAAGGAGAAGCACTCGGGCACAGAGAGATCTGAGAAATCAAAAGATCATACAGACGGTGTGAGTGGAGTGTCAACAGGCCGAATAGTAGGTCTCTGCAGGAGATCAAGAATGTGAGTAAAATGTCAACAGCTGAATAACAAGTGAAGGGATGACTTATTTGATTTAATTAAGGCAGAAGATAATTACAAAACATTAAAACTAAAATGGTGCTGGACACAAACCAAATGACTGGAATAACATGATGGTATAGGAGTCGTGTGCCAAGGGTCTAACCAAAGTAACAAGTAACAAGTAATCCAAAACTGTACAAACCAGTTAAGGCATGGTGGGGGTCACATGTAGCGTGACATCAACCCAAGATCACAGTTGAGGCCATCTTCATGGGTACGGAACTTGGTTATCAGTAACTGCTCGGTGATCCTGCATTGTTGTGTATCTCAAAGGCTACCTGGGATGTTTACCTGAAGATCGGAGGCTGAATGTCCTTGACTGCTGAAGTGAGGAAATGTTCTTGTCTGGCGATTATTACATGGTGTCCACTCATGTATTGTCAGAGAGTCTGCATGCTCTCGCCGATATACCATACCTCGGGGCATCCTTGCCTGCAGCGTGTGAGGTAGACGACGTTGGCCAAGTTGCATGAGTATCTGTCACGTACGCGGCGGGTGGTGTTCCTACTTGTATTAGTATCCATGTCGACAGTCTGGCATTTTTTTCTTTTATTCATTCACGGGATGAGGGCATCACTGATAATCAGCATTTGTTGCTGCCCAGAAGGCAGTTGGGAGTCAACCACATTACTGTGGGTCTGGAGTCTCATGTAGGCCAGACCAGGTAAGGATGGCAGTTTCCTTCCCTAATGGACATTAGTGAACCAGGTGGGTTTTTCCAGCAATCAATGATGGATTCTTAATTAGACTAGTAATTCCAGATATTTATTGAATTCAAATTCCACCATCTGCCGTGGCGGGATTCGAACTTGGGTCCCCAGGATGCTATCTTGGTCTCTGGATTAATAGTCTAGCAATTAATGCCACTAGGCCGTCGCCTCCCCATGTTGTGCAGAGGTTGCTGTGGCAATGTCATGTTCTGGTCGATTTATTGTCCTTCAGGCTGGTTAGTTTGCTGCGAATGGTGATCTGTTTAAGGTTTGTTGGTTGTTTGGAGGCGAGATGCAGAGGTGTAGGGATGAACTTGGCGAGATGTTCATTACCAATGACCTACTGAAGGCTGCGAAGAATGTGGCATAGTTTCTCCGCTCTGAGTACGTACTGGAAAACAAAGGGTACTCTAACCGATCATATCCTGTGTCTGTCTTCTAAGGAAGTCGTACGGTTTTTCACTGTGGCACGTCAGAACTGGCGATCGATGAGTTGCGCATCGTATCCCGTTCTTATGACTGTCTTTCAGTATCTTTTTGATGACTGTCCAATTCCTTCTCGTCTGAGCAGATCCTGTGTTTGCGTAGGGCTTGTCTTTAGGGGCTGGCTTCTTTAACAAGTTTAAGGTGGAAGCTAGAGAAGTGCAGCACCATGACGTTATCTGTTGGGCTTGCAGTACAGTGAGGTACCGAGGTTTCCGTCCTTGATGGAGCTGCGTGTCCAAGAACAAGACTGATTCTGAAGAGTAGTCCATGTTAAGTCTGGTGGGATGAAATGTGTTGATATCATTGTGTAGTTGTTTCAGTGATTCCTCACCATTCACTCTTCCACTGCACTCATACCATTTATATGATCTATTGATCTCTCTGATTTATAAATTCAGTGCCCGAGTACATCTCTTCACTTCAGCTGATGAAGGGGCAGTGCTTTGAAAGCTTGTGATTTGAAATAAACCCGTTGGACTATACCCTGTTATCCTGTGACTTTTGGCCTTATCCATCCCAGTCCAACACCAGCACCTCCACAATATGGAAGTTTAATGGTTTGTTCTTGTGTTGACATCACTTGCGTACGTCATGAAGGAGCAGGAGTGTTCCTGCCAACTGGGTAAAAATATCTCATAATGAAAGTTGTTATTATCTGGCACTTGTATGGCCCAAATGTTGCATTCTTTCTGCTAGTAGTTTCTATGAATAATCTTTTGTAAAATGAAATGAAACCAAATGTTAAATGCAGAGGGAAGCATTGTATTTGCTAAGCTTTTAAGCTACTGATGCATCCTTTAAAATGTATGTATTTAATGGATTTACTTCTAGCTAACGTTGTCATTCTGGTTAAAAAAAAATTTGGAAGTTGATGTCTCCACAGATGGAAATCTTTTCAAAGCATTTGAATAAATGTGAACTTCTACTTTACAGTGAAACTAATAGCTTGAAAAATGTTGCATCGTGTTGCAACTAGATAGTTAATAGCGGCTGAATTCATGATTACTATGAACAACCTGTCTGGCCTGGATGAACCAATTTTGAGTGGAATGTCACGTTTATCAATTTTCATATTTTCTTAACTGTGTGGAGTTTTAAAAATTTTGACATTTCAACTTTTACCTTTTATCCCATGTATATGACACAATAATACTTGTCTGCAGAAATTAATAAAAAAAAGAGAATCAGTGGTGTGTGTATTTATATATTGTCTGAGAGAAAACTTCAGTGTCCCCCTTTGCCAACATTACATTTGTGAAACTGACAGCCAGTGATGGTGTTTGTAGATGCACCATGAAATGTGGGAATAGAGAAGTAGCTGTCTTTGATAGCCTGCTCCTCCTAAAGGGTGCACTGACAGGCTCCCTCAGAGCCTGCTGACCCTGCTTAATGGAATCACTGTTGATGGATGCCTGGAGATTCCCTTATGCTGAAGCCAGAATGAAAGTCAGCAAAAGACAATTCACACTACCAGAGCTCATTTGGATATCATTTGAGGTCAGTGGCAACCGCTATTGTTTTGCCACTGATTGTGAAATCCATCTTTCTGTTATGTCAGTCCACACTTAACGGTATATCAGTCCAATGTAGGTTGTATGATAAATTTTGTTTTGTTTCAGGTATTTCTTATGTAAAAATGCTTTGAATGTGAGAGTTCATTCAACACTTTACTTTTTTGTTATTTTTTTTTGGTAGCCATTTCACCTGCGGATGTCAATTATGGAGAAACATTGAGTACGCTTCGCTATGCAAACAGAGCCAAAAACATCATTAACAAACCTACCATTAATGAAGATTCTAATGTCAAACTTATTCGTGAGCTACGTGCTGAAATAGCACGACTGAAGGCTTTACTTGCTCAGGGGAATCAGGTTAGTTTTTAATCTTTTGATGAATTGATAATTCATTGTTATTTTTGGAGGGAAAAGGGCTCCTGGTTACCATCTTTAATTGCTTTATTACATTATGGTAACCTCCAGGACTAAATGCGTTGTACAACTAATGGCTAAATCATTTATACTCATCAAGCTTGGCTTAAAGAAGTTGCTATTTTCTTGCGTGGATTGTAGCAGGGATAATGGGGCTGCAGTAATGACCCTTCCGGAAGAAATTAATGAAGCTGATTTTAGCTTTGTAGAATTATCAACCTAATTAAGAAACTTTTCTCTTGGATGAAATCCACTCTGGATCATGATTAATAATTTGTTTTTAAAAACAGCTCCAATTTTATTGTTTCACTCTAGGTGGCAGCCAAGTTTTTCTTTTCATGGCTGTAGCTGGACTTGTAGGTGAAATTTTAAAAAACCTTGTTTGGAACTGTAGCTGCCAGTATTAAGTCCAGTAATATGCAGCAAGCCTGTGGTGCCGAACTGCACTTAATCTACCTAAAATAAGAAAGGGTGCTGGAGAAACTCAACGGGCTTGGCCACATTCTGTGGAGGGGTTGAGAGAGAGACAGTTAATGTTTCAAGTCCAATATGACTGTTCCTCAGAACTGGACGCTTGCTTTTTAGTTATTTCATCTAATTCTTCAATAAACTAAAATTCACTGCATTAAAACAAACGAGACCTTTTTTTTAAAGAAGCTTGTATTGATTATCTGGTTCAGCATGAAATATTCCTATCAAATACAGAATTTTCTGTATTCAAGACTTTAAAACTTTTATTAAAATGTCCACTATATGATATTCTCTCCGTTAATTTTGGTGTCAATGCAATCCAAACTATCCAAAGTACCTAGTTAATCTTACTGAACTGCAATTGAAAGAGTAAGGAAACAATATTTTTAGGTGGCAAGAAGTTGAGTACTGTAGTTGCCGCAGAACATACCTGTATTGGACAATTGGTTAAACAGACTAACATATAGATATGTGAAACGGGCAGGTATAGACTATTTGAACCATCCAGTAAGATCATGGGTAATATATTTGTATTTAGAATTTTTCATCAGATTCTTGTTAAGCAAAAAAATCAATGGGCCTCTTCTGCGTTAAAAATTTAATGACCCCTTCATTCACTGCCTTCTGAGTAGAGAGTTTCAAGTGTCTCAAACCTTAGCAAAAAAATTTTTGCTCCTCCTCTTTCCTGAAAGGGTGATCCCTAATTTTAAAAAACTGTTTCGTCTCGATTTGTACTGACGTCCACCTTTGTAAGACCTTTTGAGGATTTTGTGCACATCAAACAAGTCTCGCCCCACTCTTCTAAACTCCAGTTGAAGCAATTCCAGCCTGTCCAATCCATCCTCCATAAATCAACCTGCTCATTCCAGGTTTCAATCTAGTCAACCTCCTGTGAACCACATCTAATGCATTTGCCTCCTTTCCTTAAATAAGGTGATCAAACCTGCACAGTGTGTCCAAGATGTGATCTCACCAATCCCCTGTAGTTCTGAAGCATAACATGCTTGCTTTTTACATTCAGTTCCTCTCATGAAAAAGGATACAATTCTATTAGTGGGCTTAATCACTTGCCGTACCCATATACTAATTTATTGTGACTCTGCAGTAGAACACCGAACTCCCTCTGTACCTTGGAATTCTGCGATCGTTCTCTATTTAAGTAGTATTCTGCTTTTCCAATCTTCAAGATCTAGTCTATAGAAACTGCTGTCCTGAAATACGGCCATCTTTGACAAAACTGATTTGTGACTTGCATTTTTATTTGTTCTCTACTACATGATATTAAAGCAACTAAGGTGCCTGGCTTAATTAAACATCTCCGATTAATTTCCTGAAAAATGGAGAGGGGCTTTCTCCACTGATATTTAAATTTTAACTTTGAATCGTTTCGAGCAAATTTCAAAATTTATGGGGAAGTGATAGTGGTGTCACTAGACTATTAATCCAGAGATCCAGGTAATGTTTTGAATCCTGTCATGGCAGATGGTGGAATTTGAATTCGTAAAAAGCTGGAATTATGACTCTAATAGCATATTGATCAATGAAAACCCATCTGGTTCACTAATGCCTTTTAGAGAAGGAAACTGTTGTCCTTAACTGGTCTGACTTGTGTGTGACTCCAGACTCTAAGCAATGTGGTTGTCTCTTAACTGCCTGCTGGCCAATTAGGAATGGGCAATAAATGCTGACCTAGTCAGTGTCGTCCACATCCATGAATGAGTAAAGGAATCAAAAAATAGACTAGAATACTGTTCATTTTTGGGACCTTGACATCAATTCTTGTTATTTAGAATAGTTTGTTTGCTGGATGTGAATCCACAGCACCTAAATGGCTGTAATTTAGCTCCAATTTGCATTACCTACTGACTGATGTAGGAGTGTGAAAACAATCTATGTTAATGTAGTGGATGGCTTGATTCTGATATCTGAAATAAGAGAAAGTTGCGGGTGCTTTAGTGTGCTTCTGGTTCCTGATTATGAAATGCGCAAAATGTGTACCTTATCTTCCAGCCATTCTCATTTGAACCACAAATCAAAAAAAAACAAAAATTGTGCAATCCACATCTCCAAAACTGTACATGTGATGCTGAGATCTTTCCACTGCAGGGCTGAAATATTTCCCTAACATGTTGTCTAATTTTGTAACAAACGTGTTTACTAACAGCAAAATATGTTTTCCTTTCAGATTGCATTGTTGGATTCTCCAACAGCTTTAAGCATGGAGGAGAAGCTTCAACAAAATGAAGCTAGAGTAAGTGCTGTTGTGGTTGTACATATTCCTTTTGCTATTGGAAAAGTATTTTAATTCACTGATGAAATAAACTATACTGAATTGACATCACAAATGCTTGGAATTGCTGTACTTGCATCTGAGCCATTTAATGAGCCATTTAATCCAACTGTATATAAAATTGTTTGATCGTGAAATTTAAACAAGAGACCTAAGCAAAGATGATCTGTATCTGAAGCAGGATTAGAGGATTTTGGATAATTTACGCAGTGGTATGGATATAATTTAGTCCCCATCTTAAAATAATGCATTCTGTCCTTTTTATATTCTGTTTTGATTTAATACCCTACATGTCTTTACCTAATGAAAGGCACAAATAACACCTATAAATGTGGTGTAATATCCCTTTCTTCTAAAGTACTAAACAGAAGCTACAGTAGGTTCACTCTTTTTTTATGATCTTATTTCACGTGCAGGACTTTTTTTTAAATTTGAAAAACATAACCAACATAGTTTTAAACTTTAAGAAAGCCATGTATCAAATTTTAAAGTACATGTAGTAACAAAGCCAGAGAGTTGTTAGAAACGGTGGAAGAAGTATTCTGGGAAGGTTTATTTTTCACCAATATGGAATCACACTTCTGTCACCTATTGTCTTGTTAAGTCCTGTCATTTGTAAGCTGAATCCTTCATGTGAAAGCTTCCAATGAAGTAGAAAGATACAAAGACAAGTTGGGGAGAAAAGCATGCTATTATCAAATGAGTTTGTTTTTATGTGGGAATGTAAACTTTAAATGTACAAATTACAGTAGTGGGGTGGGAAAAACCTGTCAAAAAAGCATTTTGAGTCTCAGTTGATTCAGGAACAAACTTTGTTAAATATCTGCATACAGTTTTTATTAGCTCATTTATTATTTATTATTGTTATTATTTATTTTTATTATTAGCTCATTTCCATCTAAGGCCCTTAGGCCATAAGACCATAAGGTATAGGAGCAGAATTAGGCCATTCGGCCCATTGAGTCTGCTCCACTATTTGATTGTGGCTGATTGTTTCTCTACCTCGTTCTCCTGCCTTCACCCTGTAAATCTTGATTACCTTACTATTAAGAACCTATTTATCTCTGTCTTAAAGACACTCAAATGACTTGACTGCCACAGCTGTCTGTGGCAATGAGTTCCAGAGATTCACTACCCTCTGGCTGAAGAAACTCCTCTTCTCTGTTCTAAAGGGACGCCCCTTCACTCTGAGGTTGTGCCCTCTGGTTCTCAGTTAGGAATGTCTCATTGCAAGTCTTTGAATGCTGTGTTTTAGATTTGTTTCATCAAGGTGAGAAAATACAGTTTGGCAGAAAAAATCTCAATAGTTACAGAAAGCATGCCAATGAAATAAACTATTCTTGGTTAATGAATTTACAAATATAAATTGACCAGCATGCGTATGATAGTAATGAGAACTTCAGGGAAGTGCGTGTTTCACAACATAAATAACACTGTTTGATTCAAATACTCAGAAGCCACAACTTTATCTATCTTTTACGGGGGAAGATGCTGGCATAGTGATCTAGTCATTCAACTAGTTAATGCTGTGGAGCATGGGTTCAACTTTAACTGCTTAATTAAGATTGTCCTAATAGGTACCAAAGGTTGCTGCTTTGTATATTGAGCAGAATAGTTTGAGTTTATATGATCATAATGTCACTTGTAGGTCATATAATCACTCAAGATGATTCATTTTATTACATAATTTCTTTCGAAAATTTAACTGCTGTGCCTCTGTGGGAAGTAGATTTGATGCAGAGAAGTTTATTTATTTGGGTCTGAAACACCTTCTTCTCTTGTCTGGCAGGTGGAGGAACTAACCAAAGAGTGGACAAATAAATGGAATGAAACACAAAATATCCTTAAGGTGGGTTCCCCCCTAAAAGTATTGGGTATTGCTTGAGCATATACTTAATTAAATAATTGCATGAATGGTACCTTTCATTATGAAACTTATGTACTGTGATTTAAAATTTACATCTGATTTAATCACTGAATAGTAACTTAAAAAATGTTGATATTTTGCTCTGAACTATGAGGACTGCACCTAAAGATGGGTGAAACTAAATACCAGACCAAATGAGATTTAGCTGAAACCCATTTGTAACATACCTAGGACAGAATTTGGTAAGGGCTGTGAGAGGCACAATATTCAAGAGCCCCAAAGACGTTGAGCCCTTAATTAGCAGCAGGAACTCTTTTGGTGGGGTTCATGGCTCCAGAGGAGAGCATCTACCTACGTCTCACCCCGTAGGTTGGAAATCTCCTCTTCCCCCACCCCACCCCTGCCAAACGGTCGGGGAATGGTCACTCAAAGATTGGCTTCTTCTACTGTTAATTCACTTGCACCTTCACCAGGGTTTACTACGTAATATGTAAAGAAACTTGAGGAGCAGCATAGAGGCTGTTGTGCTGATGGGGTGTGGTGGAAAGGTCAGAGGGTGGCACTTCCTTTCCTCACTAATGCTGGACCCCTCAATTGTACACAGTGTGCCTTTTGAATGAGGACCACATCCTGTTTTGACCCTCATAGTGGGGTATGCTTCTCAGTCTCCCCACATGGTGAGTCCTTTGCTTTCTTTTCTTCTTTATTCATTCATGGGATGAGGGCGTCGCTAACTAGGCAGCATTTATTGCCCAGAGGGCATTTTAGAGTCAACCACATTGCTGTGGGTCTGGAGTCACACGTAGGCCAGACCGGGTAAGGACAGCAGTTTCCTTCCCTAAAGGACATTAGTGAACCAGATGGGTTTTTACGACAATTGACAATGGATTCATGGTCATCATTAGATTGTTAATTCTAGATAATTATTGAATTCAAATTCTACCATCTGTCACGGCGGGATTTGAACCTGGGTCCCCAAAATGTTGTTTGGGTCCTCCACTCTTCCTCTCCCTCTTCTCCCCC